AGAGACTGGATGACCATCTGTCAGGGGCGTTTGAATGCGATTTTCCTGCTTCTTGGCAGGGGGTTGGGTGGCCCATGCGGTCTCTTCCAACTCTTATGATACTATGATTAGGGTACTAATCATAGGGGGGGGGGGAATTAACCATTGGAAATCTTTTCACTATCTTGGCTAGGCATAGTAGCAATTAAAATGTCAGTCTTGAAAACTTACATCTCTGGCATATGCAAAAGCTGGATATGACTTATTTGCATAAAGAAAAAAAGCCCCTTTGTCTTGCAAAAGCTGTTCCGTTTCATAGTGAAGATACAGATGGGTTAAATAGTAATTTAGTCAAAGTTTATTTTGAAGCTTTTCAACTAAGGCAGTTGTTCAGAGCCACCCAAAACTCTGCTGGGTGTTCCTGGTTAATATTAGAACTTCTTGACATTTCATTGCCATTGTCCGGTGGTTTTCTCCTAGATTTCCAAGAAGCTAATGAAAAACATTCCCAACTGTTTCTCTAAAATGCTCTTATAATTTGGAGAACCTGTCACCTTTGATATTGCTTCTGTATCATCCTGTTTTAACATGGGCTATTGGAAACGATTTACATTATGGACACAAACTTTACATTATGGATACAATCATAGGGACTTCCTTCATAGGTCTTTTTCTAAAGCTGGTAACTAGTCACAAGATTGATTGCTGGTAGACACTGTACATGGCATAAAATATGCCTTCTTTCACATAACCTAGAGTTGATCAGTGGCAATGTTCAACCCTAAGGTAGAGTGGCAGTTTTAGGTGGCCATGTTTGTCTACTGTTTGTGAAGTACTCAGGACTAAATAGGGAGCTGTGTCTGCTGATGAACACATTTACTATTTTGGCATAGAAAGTAATTTTTTTAAAAACTAAAAATGAGAAAGAATGTTTTCTTTGAATTTTCTACCAAGAGGCTGCAGTGAATGTATACAATTTTGATACAATTAAGTTATACAAGTAATTTTTGCATAGCCATACTCCTTTCTTCATAGTGAGATACCTTAAAGCATTCTTCATGGCTACATTTGAATTTTTCCTAGAGTCATATTTTATTTTAATTTACATATTTCAGCATTTGAGTAGGCAATTGTTCGTGTTGTTTTTTTTAAAAAAAAATATGAGTAGAGGTAGTCATTCATCAATTGATTATCCTTCCAGTCAACTGTCATTTTACATTTAAATACTCCAGCAGATGGCAGCATGAACTTACTGAAAGCCTGTAGTTTTCTTTTTGTAAGTATTACTTTTGATAGTAAAATAAATTATCTGAAATATTGGTTGTGACTCGGATGTAAAGAGCTAATAAAACTTGCAAAAAGAGGACTTTCTTTACGCAGGTAGAATCTTTCTACATTTTTAAAAGTCTGTTTCAAGATCAGTTTACCATCCAGTATGGAAAGTTACTGTTCAAGGCAAAATATTTTTAATTTCTCATTGGATTCAAGAAAGCAATCCAATGATTGTTTAGATCCTGGCCCTTTTCTGGGCTGTCTGGAGCTTTAATGCAGGGCTGGTTCTCCTGGCATTGCTCATCTATAATTTCCAGCATTTCTTTATTTCTTTTACAGTATTTATATTCCACCCTTCTCGCCCTGCAGGGGACTCAGGGTGCATTACAATGCACATATACATGGCAAACATTCAATGCCAATTAGACATACAACATATGTACACAGACACAGCGGCAATTTAACATTCCAGCTTTTTCTGGCTTTATGAGGGTATGCTCGATTCTGGGTGGATTCTGTCCACAGGGGGAGCTGCTGCTTCACCATCCATTTGTGACACCGAATCCTTTGATGGAGTACTTCCTTGTTCTTCTGCACAATGCTGGAAGGTTTTTTTATGGTGTTGTAAATTTGTTAAATCAGCCTCCCCGCATAAAGCAGTACCTAAATTTCCTACTTGACAGGTGCAACTGTCTTTCTGGCTGCATAGGTCGACAGCAAGCTAGACTAATGGCCGGAAGCTCACTCCAACCTGCGCTGGCTTTGAACTCATGTCCTCTCGGTCAGTAGTGATTTAATGGAGTTGGCTCCCAGCTAGCTGCGCCACAGCCCAGTCCATTCCTCACCATTGACTGTGGTGACCTGGGCTCATGGGATCTGCAGTACAACATCTGGAAGGAAGCTCTTTGCACATCCATTTTAAATGTTAATATTGACATCTTGGATTGAACACTTCACCAGTGCAGACTGTGAATGAATGGAGTTGTTTTGTCCAAGCTTCTATTAAAACTCACGTTTAAAGTCCCTCAGAGAAAATATTCTGATTTAAAGGTAACTTAAATTATTAATAACTGGGCCAGCCTAAGCCATCTGGACAAGACCTCACTTGCCAAATCAGTCTGAGCTGACATAAACCACTCCTGGTCTCCAGTTCTTGCATGTTGAAAAAAAGATGCCTCTCACCCTCATAACAGAAGAGGCTATGCTGTGGGTAGCAGTGCTTTTGTTGAAGAACTAGGCTAAATATGTCAAATGCTATATTCTGATGGATGAAAGGTACTGTACAGCACCAGTGTGTGTGAAACAATAGCAGAGGCTTAATCTGAAAGAACCGTGAAGGAAAAGGACATGGTGAACCGTTCCAGAGTACATTTTACCTTGACACCTCTATGACAGTAATGGCAAACCTTTTAGAGATCAAGGAGGTGGGATAGCATCACCACTGCCCTATGATGAGACAGCCAAAATGAAGGAAGATATAGTCTTGTAAGTTGAGGCTTCCAGGTCCGAAGATTCGCAAACAACCACTGGGAGAAAGCAAAACACTCATACAAATATCACTGTCTAATCACATATCTGGATTCAAACTGGAAGACCCTTCAACAGCAGACATGCTCACACGTGAAAAAGTTTGATGCTGTACAAAACATGCAATAAGCATGTGAAATGAGAAGCAAGTGACAGACATTAAGAACCACCACTTACCTGTAGTATGAATGGGCAATGCCTTTTCAACAAAAATATGTTACCATGATAAAAAAGGGGGGGGGGGCGCGGGGGTGGACAATCCACAACAGAATGAACTATGATGAAATCCCCAATGTGTGGATTATATAATGTTGGTGACTTGTGATTGCTGCTACTTATTTTGTAGTCCTATGGTTCTTTAGCCTTTGACTGTGTGGATCATAATAAACTGTGGCAAGTTCTTGGTGGGATGGGCATCCCAAGCCACCTTGTCTCTCTCCTGAGGAATCTGTATAAGGACCAGTAGCAACAGTAAGAACTGACCACGGAACAACAGACTGGTTCAAGATTGGGAAAGGCGTTGGCAAGGCTGCATACTCTCACCCAACCTTTTTAACTTGTATGCAGAACACATCATGCGATGTGCGGGGCTGGATGAATGCAAAGCTGGGGTGAAAATTGCTGGAAGAAACATTAACAACCTCATATATGCAGATGACACCACTCTGATGGCCGAAAGCGAGGAGGAGCTGAGGAGCCTTCTAATCAAGGTGAAAGAAGAAAGCGCAAAAGCCGGGTTGCAGCTAAACATAAAAAAAACCAAGATTATGGCAACAAGAATGATTGACAACTGGAAAATAGAGGGAGAAAACGTGGAAGCCGTGACAGACTTTGTATTTCTAGGTGCAAAGATTACTGCAAATGCAGACTGTGGCCAGGAAATCAGAAGACGCTTACTTCTTGGGAGGAGAGCAATGTCCAGTCTCGATAAAATAGTAAAGAGTAGAGACATCAGACTGGCAACAAAGATCCGAATAGTCAAAGCCATGGTATTCCCTGTAGTAACCTACGGATGTGAGAGCTGGACCTTAGGGAAGGCTGAGCGAAGGAAGATAGATGCTTTTGAGCTGTGGTGTTGGAGAAAGTTCTGAGAGTGCCTTGGACTGCGAGAAGATCCAACCAGTCCATCCTCCAGGAAATAAAGCCCGATTGCTCATTGGAGGGAAGGATACTAGAGACAAAGTTGAAGTACTTTGGCCACATCATGAGGAGACAGGAAAGCCTAGAGAAGACAATTATGCTGGGGAAAGTGGAAGGTAAAAGGAAGAGGGGCCGACCAAGGGCAAGATGGATGGATGGTATCCTTGAAGGGACTGGCTTACCTTGAAGGAGCTGGGGGTGGTGACGGCCGACAGGGAGCTCTGGCTGGGCTGGTCCATGAGGTCACGAAGAGTCGGAGACGACTGAACGAATGAACAACAACATGGTTCTTTATGGATTCTACTGATCTGTTATTTTAATGAATAGATCTAGGCTATTAACAGTACTTAATCCTAAAACTTTTATTTTTGTAATTGTAATTACAGTTTAACTACTGTGATTAAGTTTGGAGACTTTAAAAATCATTATTTTACATGAAATTCTGAAGAATGCCATTTACCTTATATCAAATGCCGAATTGCTGGCAAGAATTTGATTTAAAAACCTGAAGGATCCATCTTTACACATTAAGCAAGTTATGAAAAAAAAGTTCCGTTTAATTTATTGAATCTCTTTAAGAAAAGTTTAAGGTAGTAGGCAAAAAAATGTAATCAGCACATATATTACTTTTTAATAAATGAAGAGTACAGTTCCCCCAACATTTTGTCAAGTTGTTGTGATTTCAGTAGTTAACATCCTAATAGTGCAGTCCTGTTGATATTTACTGAAAAGCAGCTCATCTTTATTCATTGGGAATGCCAGGTAATTGTGTACAGGAATACTGCTGCATAAACCTTTTCTTTTGCAAGTAATTCCTCTGACCAAATGTGGTTTCTACATTATGTCATATTTCTCCTGTTCTTAATATTCAGCTTCCAAAATGAAGCAATTTAAATAAATTATAAGAGTGAAATACAAAATAATTATCCTGTTTAAACCCTATACAGCAATGTTCTAAAGAGTACAATTAGCTAATATCTTTTTTTAAAGATAAAAGTAAAATAAGCTATTTTATATTCATTATTTCAGCATAATGACTGTAACACAATGACTTTTGTAACACCCAGCAAAACATGTACAAATTAAAGTTGACACGATTTTATTTCCCCACTTTTTCAGTAAACATGTAAAATATTTGAAATATGCATTTTGGCAACCTTTTATTAATATTACTGCTTGCGCTGAGGTCGGAATCTATACCACATGGAAAATAAGTAGTAACAGTAGGAGAAAACCTTTCAGTGCATTGAATTGCAAGTTAAAGGCATGGCATTATTAGCAGGAAGTAGCTTAAATATAATATTTCAGTGTTTTAAAAACTTTCAATGAAAATTTGGCCCAAAACTACCAATTTTATTAGCATTTCCTCAACCAAGGGTGGAGAGTCAATCAGAGATGTTCTTCACACTAAGAGATAGAGAATGGGCTAATGTTTTTTGAGATGTAACAGTGCTGTCAGAGTTTGGAGTACTAGTGGATACACAGACAGTTGTCTTCCAGAGTAAATGAGAATGCAGGCCAATACATCGTATCTCAATCATGTAAAATTCCTTTGGGCATCTTCTTAGAAAAATGATTATGAGCCAGAGTTTTACATTCAGTTTGCAAATCAAATTTCTTATTTTAATCACAATAAATTAACCCCATTAAAATCTTCATAATTAACGCACTCAATTATCATGGTCTTCTGTGAACACTGTGAATAAGTGACAATTTTGATAGCTTGTTTAGTATGGAGTCACACCTCTAATTTTTCCCTGAATGTCTTAAACATGTCTGCAATATCTGCCTGGCCTTTGTTTGGAATCCTAGCTCTTGAGGAGGGCATCAAATAGTGCCCCTATCTACAAATGGCATATTATGACAGCAGGTGGATGTTATGATTCGAACAACTAGGGGGAGGGGAGAGTTTAATCCCCCTCCCCCGCCCAATGAATAAGCTGTCCCAAGCTCAGAACGATGATAGGTGCAGCTAAAAATACTCAAATGCAAATGCAAATTAAAAAAGCAACAACCCCAAAACTATCTCATATTGGAGAGCACCATTTCACATACAATTCCTGGCCGCAGACTCAGCGTGGCCGTATAAAAACAACAGTTCTAACAAAGTCAGTCATTAATTGGGACTTATCAGTTTCACTTGTTTTCTGGAGCAGTCTTCTAAGGTTTTAAGACAAATGGGTTAGAAAATGCACTATGACCTATTTGTCTGCAAGGAGATTCAGCACTGCCAGCCATCTCCTTTCAAAGGATTGTTTAGTTTGTATCGGTGTACTGTGGGAATGCACACCACAAACAGCCACAATAAAGATGCATTTCTTCATAAAGGCAAGATCTATGTGTATTTTAAGATTGTTGTTGACCTAATAGCAATACTGTTATCTTTGTAAGCTTACTCTGTAAGTCTGGTTCCCACATGCCTGTACATTGTTTGATATCTCAACACTTTTGAACAAACTATTAAAAAGCATCATGTCTGAGGTGATAAGGAAATCCCACCTGTAATGTTTCACTCACACTTGCAAGTAGTCACTCGATGATGCATGTTAAGTCACCAAGTAATGCAACACTTACGTTTAGTGTCAGGCTTTGATAACCTTCTTAAACACATTATAGATCTCTTGCATTCAGTTTTTTTATGAGAGGTCAAAACTGGGCACTTTATGAGCAGACACATCTATGGTGTAATATGCATTAAAACAGTAGCATAGAGGTTATATCTACCAGCAGGACATTTGAAATAGTTGGTCAAGTACCTCTCTCAGCCATTGAGACATATATAGAATATCACAGGATTATAGTTGCCTTACATTCCAAATTACACACTGGCAGTTACAGTACTGTGGTCAAAAGGTACAAATATAATAGTGGCTGAGTTGATATTGTCACAAAAATACTTTAAAAAGTGCTTCTTACTCCATATATGGAATGCAGATACTGTACAGGTAAAACACAGAAGATCTCTGTGAAGTTCTTGTCAGACATTGCTTTCTAATTCTTGGTCATTCTTCCAAGAGTCTGTTTGTTCCATGTGGTCACAGTCAATGCTGATTTCGCTGGTGTCCATACTGCAGTCAGACCCACTGTCTGACTGGTCCATTTGCTCAAGTTTTGACTCTTGACGTGATATTCTGTTCCTACTTGAGGATGTTAGTAAAGGTCCCTCAGAGTCAAGTCCTCCACCTTCACCTGATGCACACAAGACAGATTCTTTGGCTTGGCGGATACAGTTGAGCCACTGCTGTTTGTTGAAAGTGTCGTTTGCTTGCAATGAATGGGACTGGCTCTGAGATCCATTTTTGAAACTGACTCTGAAAAAGTTCTTAACTGAAAGAAACCAGAATTGTTAGCAAACAGGCAAGGATTGTAAAGATCTTTTTTAAAAAAACAACATCCTGAAGTGTATGTCTTTTGTTTGTATCATCACATCAAGTACTAAGGACCTAAATGCTGCATGATGTACAAAGCTCTCTTAAAGAAATTATATTCTGCACATAATCCCAATGTTTGTTTTCTATGCCAAATCACTCTAGCGTACTAAGTGATGGGACTCAGCCAAGCAAAGGGATCCAAAGTTTTTACAGATTTTCACTTATCAAAAAAACCCACATTTTAATTCAAAAAACCCACAATTCATAGATTCCAAATTGGATAAGAAATAATTGAATAGGTTCGTACTTCTCTCATTGTTGCTAAATGCACCACGTATGGATCCGCCTAATCGCACCTCTCCATCTTGCAAATCCTCCAGCACAAGATCCTTCACAGGGATGGGTTGGCGATACAACTGGTAACAGAGCTGTTCATTTTGTGTAACTGTCCGAGTAATCACTAGCACTTCTTGGAAGAGAAAGACATGCAATTTCTGATAGCAAAGGGGGAAAAAGAAATGGTCACTTTAAAAGTTGTGTTTATATTTCTTAGTATATACAAAGAAAAAAGAATAAGTAATTTCAGCAACCAGTCCCTCAAAAGATTTATGTATTAGGGTCATGAATACAGGGACATGTTTTCCACATATTTAAACAGCAATGTATGAATTGCAAATGTAATTTCTCATCTGTGAACTGAGAAATTAAGGAACTGTATCATAAAACTATTTTTCAGAACAAATGTAACAAATATTCACAACTTTTAAAAACAATAATCCATCAGGAAAATAGTGAAGTATCTTAGCTCCTTATCAATCAGGTCCTCCTTACCATCAAGGGTACACATGAAGATAATCTCTCCCCAGTGCATTCCTTCATTGACTTATCTAGTACAAACTGTGATCCATAACAGAACTCTTTGGAAAAGAGTAGGCATAGATATGAGTTCTCTAGAAGAAGCTCCCCACAACCAAAGACATTGTTTTGAACTATATTGGACTTCCCCAATGTAATATATTTTACCATGCCAATGTTTACATAAAGGCTTGTCTTCACTGGTGATACAGTAATAGTACATCAGTAGCAGAAAAGCCCATGGAGACTACATCAATGAGATTGCGCAAAGGAGCACAAATACCTCAAGTCAAGAGGGGGCCACTTCATATCTGCAGCTCTCAAACTATTTGAAACCAAACCAGTAGCACAACTCCTGTCTGGAGCACAGCTAGGCCCTTTCTCCAATTTTCCCCCTTTAGAGCTTGTACAATCAAAATTTCTAAGATTGGCCCTGCAAGTACCAAAATGTGTCTCCAATGCCATCCTGCGACTAGAGACAGGCTTCATGAAAGTGGAGGCCAGGGTGTGGGTACTCAACTACTGGCTCAAAATATCCCTCTCTCTCCTTGGTCTTGCCCCACTAACTATGAAGGGTGACTTCCAGTCCACATGGAAATAGGCAGTAGCAACTAAAATCTCATTCCTGGCCTTTTATCCAGCGTTGCTACTCAGTATGGAATATGATCAAGCCAAAGCACTCATTAAACAACATATTTCAGACACAGAGCACCAATTGGATCTAGCCAGCATCCCAACCTTCATAGTCAATGAAGCCAGTAGATACCTCGCCTTCCATATGGTATGCTTAACAAATCCAGAGCTAACCAATCATCAGAGGGCCTTTACCCTGGCTCAATGTCATGCCCTTCCATGAGCTGTACTCAAGGGTTGATATCGGAAGACTCCTACACAGAGAGACTCTGCCTTGTGACTATGGACATATAAAAACAATGGAACACGTGCTCCTCCGGTGCCTGTTTTACAGAGACATGCAAACTAGACTCATCTCGCCATTGCTATATAAACACTGGGGCCACCCCAGGGCAATTTTACACCACCCTGTTGCTTTCAGATACCAACTCTATTATTACATATAATGTTGCCAAGTTTTGTGCGGCAGCATTTAAAATCTGCCAGGTGATGACTGGTACTACAAGTTAGCACTCTAACTCATCAGTAAACTGAAACTATAGATTTAGTGCTCCCACCTCCTAGTCCCCTAGGCCTGTGCCTGACTGTACCCCTCCTTCCTTATACTCCCTCATACTCCCTAAATGCTCCTCCAGATTTTCTTCCCTTTCCATTTCCTTCTAGTCTTTTTTCATTTTAAATAGTATTTTGTGTTTTAGCCTTTTAATATACCTCTGTATTCTAGCCTTTAGCCCAGGCTCAAATGATTTTAATGTATAATGCTTTTCTGAGACTGCACCCCACTCTCCTTATGCTGGCCAATGACTGTAATAAAGATGTGTTTGTTTGTTTAGTACATCAGATCCTAAATAAGCAATGCTTATTTGTGATCTAATTGGACTGGACACCACTTCAAATTTCTCTAAATTCTTTTCTGAGAACTCATGATGTACATAAAGAAGCAAAAATAAATAATATATGCAAAGATGGAGTTTGATAAAACTGCCTAGGCCAAAAGAGCCATAGTTTAAACACAGCCATGGGAAATACCGTGTTTCATAAGCATCTGCAATTCTAATTTCATGCAAATATAAAATTAAATGTCCTGAATAGAATATATGAATAGGAAATCAAATATGAGAAAGCTTAAGAGAGGATCAGGGGCAGCATAATAAGCTATTTTGTAAAAAAATTCCAATTTCCAATTAAAATATACATGAGGCACCATATAGCAGGCCTGCATAACCTATAGCCCTCCAGGTGTTTGGGACTCCAACTACCAGAAGCCCTAGCCAGCTTGTCCAATGGTCAGGAATTCTGGGAGCTGATGTCCAGAACACTTGGCGGTCACGGGTAGTGCAGGCCTGCCATAAAGAGATCCCTTCCAGCTATTTTCTCTATCTGCCCCCATCACCAATCCTTTATAAACTCTACTCAGACTTATACAAATTGCAGTTTTACATTTCCAAATTAGCAGGAAACTTTTAGTTATAAATTATATAAGTATAACCCTGAAAACTGCTAGAAAAAAGAAGCAAAGTAGGATTTTTTTTGTTTCGAAAAATGAATTCCTTACCGCTCCCCTGTTGTTCTTTAGTTCACCATGACAACACACAACACGTGACTCATCTATGAGGGAGTCCTTCTGGCCTTCATCCAGATATATTAGCCTCTCTTTATAATACTGACATTCAGATTCACCTGTCTTCTTGTTGATTTCTGCCACTATGCCTTGGACAATATTAATCTGTAAAAACGATAGTTAAAAGTAAGTCATAATGTTCCAAAACTATTTCAAAGATGGTTCTCCTAGCTTTTTTATTGAAAAAAAAACTTTAAAAGTGAACAGAACTTATATTTCTAATATTTTTCTTCAGCATATTGGTAGAAGGCCTAAATGCTCTTGAAGCTGTAGACTGTATTTCAGAGAAACAAACTGGCAAAACTACTACAGAGCATTCCTTTACTTAAAAAACACTATGAAATCCATGGAATCTGCCACAAGCCAATAGGTGATTTGAAGGAACATACATACACAAACTACACAGAGTTGGATACTTCAATCCTGTTTTATGGTTGAAGTTTTCCAACAACTCCCCAAGTCATATTGCAACACATGATCCATCCATCCAGTACATGTACAGGAAATCTATACAAAAAACCTCATCACACTAGAGAATGAATCCACTTTAAATCTGGTTTCAGCCCCCTACATAATTCTGGGGTTTGTAGTTTAGGGAAGAGCCTTTAACAGCCTCACTAAACTACTAACTCCAGAATTCTGCAGGAGGCAAAAATGGATTTAAGGTGGATTCATTCTCTAGAATGATGAAGTACCAAGTGTGTCAAACTCATTTAGTTGAGAGCCATGCCAGCCTTGTGGTTGCCCTCAAAGGACTGTTGAATCCATGGCTTGAGAATCCATAGATATAGAGGGCAAAATATCTTTTTTTTATATAGTGGCTGGTGTTCTTTAGTTTTTGCCCAGTTTGGGTCCTCAGATGTTATTGAATAACAACTTCCATCACTTTTGATTATCTGCTATGTGGACTGGGGATCATTGGACTAGCAAACCAACAGCACTTAGGTTGAAGAAGAGTTAAAAAGCAGTTTAATGTCAGGCATCCTATCCACAGACCTTGTATCAAAATCCAAACCCCATTATCTTGATTAAACAGAACAAACTTCAGTCTCTCAGATGCTTCTGTATCACAACTCCCATCAGCTCTAGTCATGATGTCTAATGATGAGGAATACAGGAGTTGTATACGGACAACAGTATGTCTCTGTGTGATATGTGATGTTACTTTAAGTGATGTGTTTTGTAATTTTTAATGTTTTATTAGGGGAGGGTTAATTTTAATATTTTATACTGTTTTATGGAGGGCACTGAATTGCTGCTAACACTGAACCGCCCTGAATCCCCTTCGGGGTTGAGAAGGGCGGTATACAAATATCGCAATTAATTAATTAATTAATTAACTGTAGTCTGGCATCTGCACAGCAACATAAAATGACATGGTGGAAAGGATTTGGCCCATGGGGCTTGAGTTCAACACTTGTGAGCTATACAAAGGAAAATCCCTGCTATGTTCTGTGTATGCCACATGTTTGTAGTAAGAAATTCACTGGAAGAATAAAGCACTTTTATCACTGAACTTTTTTCCCCAGGGACCCTTGCTACCTGCAAATAAACAGTGGAGATCTGGAGATTTGGGTCTGACCTCAAGGGTCTCTTCTACAAATCTGATGTTCATATTTGACACAGTGGTGTGGAAAATATATAAAAATTCCCGTTTATGTACTGTAAAGTAAGCCCCATACTGTTTAAACAATCACAATACTCCTGGAAACACTGTTGGCTTGTAAACATAGTACTTGTGCTTTGATTCCAGTGAAGACAGCTATTAGCTCCCGAGAGAAGAAATGCACAATATTTAAGGTTTGTTTTCCTCAATAAAAATAAGAGGACAGCTTTAGATTTTGCCACCACTGTAATTATTTCAGTAGAGATCAGATATATCTTTCCCATGTTAGGGAGGGGGTTGTCCCCCAGATCTTGAAATTGGCTATTGCTGTATTGGAAATCCTTTTATAGTAAATCATTTAATCTCTGCCTATGTAATATCTACTCAATGTATTAAACAAAGTCTATCTTGATTATTACTAAATCAGGAATACATTGCTATTTTTCCTCTTTTTAGCCTATATATAATCACAATGTTGTGGTAATATCACAATTATTTGGGAGATACCAGTTTTTTATGAAAAGGAGTTATTTTCTTCTAATTTGATTGTTTGTGTTTACTTCTATATAACTTCAGTGCAATTTTTTTCCTGTCAGGAGCAACTTGAGAAACTGCAAGTCACTTCTGGTGTGAGAGAATTGGCCGTCTGCAAGGACGTTGCCCAGGGGACGCCAAGATGTTTTGATGTTTCACCATCCTTGTAGAAGGCTTCTCTCATGTCCCCGCATGGGAAGCTGGAGCTGACAGAGGGCACTCATCTGCACTCTCCCTGGATTCGAGCCTCTGACCTGTCGGTCTTCAGTCCTGCTGGCACAAGGGTTTAACCCACTGTGCCACTGGGGGCTTGTAATGACAAGGTAGGATCTTTCTTGAATGTATGTTTTAATCATACAGTTTGCCCTCCACACATATTCACAGGTTGAAAATATTCCTCCCCCACAAAAAAAAAATCCCAAAAGCAAAGCTTGATGTTGACATCTATATCTATATCTATATCTATATCTATAATAAAGAAGAGTGTTTGTTTGTATAGGACAGAGGAAGGACGGAGGGAGGGCGGAAGTGTATGTGCCAGCGTTCTGATTGGCTGCCGCTGTGGTGCTATTTGCATATGGTCTCTGATTGGCCAGCTTCAATAGGAGCCCCTGGTGGAGAAGAGGGTTCATGGCAGAAACGGGGCATGACAGAAGGAAATTTGCATATGGTCTCTGATTGGCCAGCCTCATTTCCAACATTCCGAGATGACAAAGAGAGGAAAGGAAAGGTCGGGGGCTGGGTCAGTACACTCCCAATACAGACGAAACTTGCCACACAAAGCCCCCATGACCAACTCGACATCCTACTGCAGTTTGGAGGAGGATGAACCATGGATGATGGGACTTGCAGTACCACCACTCACATTCTGAGACCGCTGTTAACCTCATCCAATGACTGATCAGGACCAAACTTCGCACATAGACCTCTCATGACCCACTGTACGTCCTGGTGTGGTTTGGCCGGGGATGGACCATGGATTATGGGACTTGCAGTACCATTGCTCAGTTCTTCAGACCACTGCAACCCTCATCCAATTACCAATAAATACCAAACTTGGCATGTCTCCATGACGCACTCTACATCCAGGTGCAGTTTGAAGGAGGATGCACCAGGGACGATGGGACTTGCAATACCTGCACTCCCTTCCTAAGACCATTACAACTGCCAACGATGATGGATCAGGACCACAATTTACACAGAGAGCCTGCATAACTCACCCTACATCCTGGTGCGGTTTGGAAGAATTTGACAATGGATGATGGGACTTGCAGTCACTTCAATCACTTCCTGAGACCACTGAGACCCTCGCCAATGACTCATCAAGACTAAACTTGGCACATGGAGCTTCAATGACCCACTCTACATCCTGGAGCACTTTGGAGGACGACAGACAATGGATGATGGGACTTCAAGTACCTCCACTACCCAAGACTGCTGCAAAACTCATCTAATGACCAATCAAGACCAACGTTGGCACACAGAGCCCCCATGACCCACTCTACATCCTGCTGCAGTTTTGGAGAAGGGTGGACCATGGATGATGGAACTTCCAGTACCTTCACTCACATTCTGAGACCTCTGCAAACCTCATCCAATGACGGATCAAGACCAAACTTGGCACATAGACCTCTCATGACCCACTTTACGTCCTGGTGTTGTTTGGAAAAATTTGGAGATGGATGATGGGACTTGCAGTACCTTTGCTCACTTCCTGAGACCACTGAGACCCTCGCCAATGACTCATCAAGACTAAACTTGCCACATGGAGCTCCAATGACCCACTCTACATCCTGCTGCAGTTTGGAGGAGGACAGACCATGGATGATGGGACTTCAAGTACCTCCACTCCCTTCCAAAGATTGCTGCAACCCTCTTCTAATGACCAATCAAGACCACACTTGGCACACAGAGCCCCCATGATCCACTCTACATCCTGCTGCAGTTTGAAAGGGGATGGACTTTGGATGATGGGACTTGCACTACCTTCACTCACTTACTGACACCACTGCCACCCTCATCTAATGACTGATAAAGACCAAACTTGGCACACAGAGCCCCCATGACCCACTCTATATCCTGCTGCTGTTTGTAGGAGGATGGCCCATGGATGATGGGACTTCAAGTACCTTCACTCACTTCCTGAAAATAATGCTGCCATTATCCAAAGACCAATAAAGACCAAACTTGGCATACAGAACCACCATTACCCACTTTCTCTAATAACCCGGGCAACGCCGGGTCCCCAAGCTAGTATATAATAAAGAAGAGTGTTTGTATCGGACAGAGTGGAGGGAGGGCGGTGTATGTGGCAGCGTTCTGATTGGCTGCCGCTGTGGTGCTATTTGCATATGGTCTCTGATTGGCCAGCTTCAATAGGAGCCCCTGGTGGAGAAGAGGGTTCATGGCAGAAACGGGGCATGACAGAAGGAAATTTGCATATGGTCTCTGATTGGCCAGCCTCAAATCCAACATTCCGAGATGAGAAAGAGAGGAAAGGAAAGGCCGGGGGCTGGGTCAGAACACTCCCAATACAGACTGAAATAGGCACACAGAGCCCCCATCACCCACTCTACATCCTACTGCAGTTTGGAGGAGTATGAACCATGGATGATGGGACTTGCAGTACCACCACTCACATTCTGAGACCGCTGTTAACCTTATCCAATGACTGATCAGGACCAAACTTCGCACATAGACCTCTCATGACCCACTGTACGTCCTGGTGTGGTTTGGCCGGGGATGGACTGTGGATTATGGGACTTGCAGTACCATTGCTCAGTTCTTCAGACCACTGCAACCCTCATCCAATTACCAATAAATACCAAACTTGGCACACTGAGTCTCCATGACGCACTCTACATCCAGGTGCAGTTTGAAGGAGGATGCACCATGGACAATGGGGCTTGCAATACCTGAACTCCCTTCCTAAGACCATTACAACTGCCAACGATGATGGATCAGGACCACAATTTACACAGAGAGCCCGCATAACTCACTCTACATCCTGGTGCGGTTTGGAAGAATATGACAATGGATGATGGGACTTGCAGTCACTTCACTCACTTCCTGAGACCACTGAGACCCTCGCCAATGACTCATCAAGACTAAACTTGGCACATGGAGCTTCAATGACCCACTCTACATCCTGGAGCAGTTTGGAGGACGACAGACCATGGATGATGGGACTTGAAGTACCTCCACTACCCAAGACTGCTGCAAAACTCATCTAATGACCAATCAAGACTAACGTTGGCACACAGAGCCCCCATGACCCACTCTACATCCTGTTGCAGTTTTGGAGAAGGGTGGACCATGGATGATGGAACTTCCAGTACCTTCACTCACATTCTGAGACCTCTGCAAACCTCATCCAATGACGGATGAAGACCAAACTTGGCACATAGACCTCTCATGACCCACTTTACGACCTGGTGTTGTTTGGAAAAATTTGGAGATGGATGATGGGACTTGCAGTACCTTTGCTCACTTCCTGAGACCACTGAGACCCTCGCCAATGACTAATCAAGACTAAACTTGCCACATGGAGCTCCAATGACCCACTCTACATCCTGCTGCAGTTTGGAGGAGGACAGACCATGGATGATGGGACTTCAAGTACCTCCACTCCCTTCCAAAGATTGCTGCAACCCTCTTCTAATGACCAATCAAGACCACACTTGGCACACAGAGCCCCCATGATCCACTCTACATCCTGCTGCAGTTTGAAAGGGGATGGACTTTGGATGATGGGACTTGCAGTACCTTCACTCACTTACTGCCACCACTGCCACCCTCATCTAATGACTGATAAAGACCAAACTTGGCACACAGAGCCCCCATGACCCACTCTATATCCTGCTGCTGTTTGTAGGAGGTTGGCCCATGGATCCTGGTGCAGTTTGGAGGACGATGGACCACAGATGATGGGACTCACAGTACCTTCACTAACTTCCTGAGAACACTGCGAGCCATATAAATAACTGATACAGACCAACCTTGATATACAATTCCTTTCTCTAATAACCTGGGCAGTGCCGGGTCCCCAAGCTAGTATATAATAAAGAAGAGTGGTTTTTTGTATAGGACAGAGGAATTGTGGAGGGCGGAAGGGGTATGTGGCAGCGTTCTGATTGGCTGCCGCTGTGGTGCTATTTGCATATGGTCTCTGATTGGCCAGCTTCAATAGGAGCCCCTGGTGGAGAAGAGGGTTCATGGCAGAAACGGGGCATGACAGAAGGAAATTTGCATATGGTCTCTGATTGGCCAGCCTCAATTCCAAGATTCCGAGATGACAAAAGAGGAAAGGAAAAGGCCAGAGGGGGCTGGGTCACCAATACAGACCACACTTGGCACACAAAGCCCCCATGACCCACTCTACATAGTACTGCAGTTTGGAGGAGTATGAACCATGGATGATGGGACTTGCAGTACCACCACTCACATTCTGAGACCGCTGTTAACCTCATCCAATGACTGATCAGGACCACACTTGGCACATAGACCTCTCATGACCCACTTTACGTCCTGGTGTGTGTTTGGCTGGGGATAGACCATGGATTATGGGACTTGCAGTACTTTTGCCCAATTCCTGAGACCACTGCAACGCTCATCCAATTACCGATAAAGACCAAACTTGGCACACTGAGTCTCCATGACGCACTCTACATCCTGGTGCAGCTTGGAGGAGGATGCACCATGGACGATGGGACTTTCAATACCTGCACTCCCTTCCTAAAACCATTATAGCTGCCAACAATGATGGATCAGGACCACAATTTACACAGAGAGCCCGCATAATCCACTCTACATCCTGGTGCGGTTTGGAAGAATTTGACAATGGATGATGGGACTTGCAGTCACTTCACTCACTTCCTGACACCACTGAGACCCTCACCAATGACTGATCAAGACCAAACTAGGCACACAGAGTCCCCATGACCACTCTACATCCTGGTGCACTTTTGAGGAGGACATACAATGGATGATGGGACTTGAAGTACCTCCACTCCCTTCCCAAGATGGCTGCAACCCTCATCTACTGTCTGATCAAGATCAAACTTGGCACATAGAGCCCCCATGACCCACTCTGCATCCTGCTGCAGTTTGAAGGAGGATCGACTTTGGATGATGGGACTTGCAGTACCATCACTCATATTCTGAGATCGCTGTTAACCTCATCCAATGTCTGATCAGGACCAAATGTGGCACATAGACCTCTCATGACGCACTTTACGTCCTGGTGTGTGTTTGGCTGGGGATAGACCATGGATTATGGGACTTGCAGTACTTTTGCCCAA